ACTGGGGACTCAACGGGCGTGCCACTGTTTTCCTTTTCTTTTCTTTTGTATTGCGGCACAATAGCTGAGGTGTTTTCCACCTCCAGCTAACGTGTATAATGATGACGATGATGGCCAAGTTGAGTAAAATTGAGAATGTAACGCTGCACGTGTGATCACATTTGATAGGGTCGCCAGTGCTAGAAGGGATCACAGGAACTATTCGAAGTGGATGACTGAAGTCCGGTAATAGGGAAGAATCATTTAGATGGACAAAAGGCGGTGAGTTTATTTAGTAGTGAACCACATCCGCCACGTCACAGCGTTGTTAAAAGACATATGTGGCTTTTTATGGGGAGAATGCTTGCCAGGCGGGAAACCACAACGTCCTAAAAACATTGCCGCCGAATCAATAACACAATAGCTGAGATGTTTTCCACCTCCAGCTAATGTGTAATGAAGATGATGATGATGAACAACAAGTGCTTGACGTTCGGATTCTGGAGCCCCCGGCTACAAGCGACCACTTAGCGCTCATAGCTGATATGCAATTACCTTTGCCGTATTCACTTCCTCTGGAACCAGCTTACAACTACTGGAAAACGGCACGGTTTAGCTCGAGCCGCGAGCCAACTGGATTGATCCCTGTCCCAAACAGCATCTGTGGAAGACTGTTGGATATTTATAAAAAAGAGATTAACATCATTATGTTCCCACTTTGTGCCCTTGCAATATCGAAAGATTGCACCGATTAAGCCTCATTGGTTTGACAAAGAGTATGGAAATCTGGCTCGGAGGTGGCGCAGACTGTGGGCCAGTTTCATCCTCTCTGCCAATGACTATGAAAGGCATGAGATTCAGCGGAACCTCTTCAACAGTGCAAAAGAGAATAAGTGCCGACACTTCGAAGAGCAGCTCGCAATCGCCGCGACGACCGCCACAAAGAGAATCTTTGCTTCCGTGAAGCGACGCCTGAAGCCAACAGGTGATATTCCAGTGCTTAATGGCCCGGACGGACAGCCCCTAACCTTTAGCACTGCTCGTGCGTCCGCGTTGGCGGGGCACTTCGCTTCTGTATTTGCAAATGACCTGGTCTCTGTTCCGAGTTCAACTTGTACCGCTTTTACCGAACTCGACAGTCTGGATTGCGGGATTGAAGAGGTAAGTCAATTACTCGACAGCATTGACGGCACCAAACCTGACGGACCTGATGAGCTTCACCCATTGATTCTCAAGTCACTTTTGGCCATCATCTCTCCTGTCGATACTTAACTTTCCAACAGCTCGATGTCCGTAGGTTCGTTGCCTAGTGACTGGGAATCTTCGGTCATGAAGCCTATTCCGAAAAGCGGCGATCCTAGCAAAGTAGACAACTATAGGCCAATTTCTCTGACACCTGTTTTGGCAAATTTTGCTGAGAAAATCGTAAAAGTGGGATTATTGCAGTTGCTGCAGTCGAAAGAGATCCTGACGCCCGCACAGCACGGTTTTATGCAAGGCCGTTTATGCATTACAAACTTGCTTATGACGAGGCATGAGTGCTTGAAGGCAATAAGCAAGGTGAAGTCTGTCGACGTGGTATTCGTCGATTTCAGTAAAGCGTTCGACAAGGTCAGCCATGAGGTTCTCCTTCACAAACTCAGGATGTGCGGTGTCGGTGGCTCACTGCACCTGTGGATGCGCGACTTTCTTGTTGGACGAAAGTGGAGGATACATGTCGACGATCATCTAACTGACCGGCATCCCTCTACAAGTGGCATGCCTCAATACACGGTGCTGGGACCCACTCTGTTCCTGATCCACATCAACGATCTACCTCAGCTTCTCCGGTTGCCGTGTGCCTTGTTTGCGGACGACATGAAGATTTGGAGAGAAATTGACACTTCCGACGACTGGTGTATTTCAGCATGACCTCAACCGTCTATCCACATGGTCTGCAGAAGTTCATCTCCCGGTCAACCCAGCCAAGTCTTTGTTTATGAGCCTGGGAAGGGTGCTGACGGCCGAACCTACACCCTTGACAGCCAACCGCTCTATCCCACACCCTCTGGTAAGGACCTAGATGTGCTCTTGCGTTACGATTTGAAGTCCGTGGGTAACACGAACAGGCTATATCTTAACGGACTGCGCGTGCTTTGGTCGCTCAAACGTAGCTTGGGCACATGATCTGAAGAGGTTGCCACTCGCCTCTTCGCTTCCATCATCAGACCAATGCTAGAGTACGGTTCGCCCGTCTACTTTCCGATTACCCGAGGCGAGGCACAAAAGATCGAACGAGTCCAACACGTTGCTACCAGACTCATCCCGAGTTTACATGGCTCGGGGCATGAAGACCGGAGCGAGAAATCAGCACTCAACACATTGTCCTACCGTCGGGTGCGAGTTGATCTTATTATGACCTACCGTATTCTACATCTCGCTGACTTCCCCATACTAAGGCACATGCTACGCTTACGAGGGCCATGCAGCACACGCGGACACATATACAAACTTGTCGTGCCGGATGTGAGATGTGTTCCCCACCCACTGTGTTTCGAACGGAGAGTGGTAGATATTTGGAACAGTTTCCTGAACATGTGATAGAGTCAACATTTGTGCACCAGTTCAAAACGTTGTATATATATATATATATATATATATATATATATATAAATATATAAATATATATATATATATATATATGAGCTGTGCCATTTGGGGACACTACAGAAGCGACGACGGGTCCTGCAGAGAATTACGGCGAGCCGGCGCAGCGTTTGAAGGCACGCTGAATTCGATTTACTAACCGCGTGCTTGCATGCTAAGTCTCTTTATTTCAGGTGGTGGGTTTACAGTTTTTAACATAATGCTTTTCTTTCTCATATTAATATCTCCCTGTACTCTAATCCATTCACTAGCACACATCACCTAAGCCAATTGTATTTGATTTCCATAATATTTTTGTGTTCGTGGCATTCCTGACCTCGTGCACTTAGCTAGGATCTGTTTGTAAACAACTTACTACATATGCTATTTACTTAAGGTTTATATCACCGTTTCCTTATGAATTAATCGAGTTTTTCTCTTTTTCCTTTTCTTTTTCTTTCTCTCTCTCTCTCAAGTGTTTGGCTGTTGTTTGTTAACCCCGGTGTGGCTGCGCTTGATGTGCATGTTGACAAGGTGCCTATCTGTCTATTACCCACTACCTCGTCCATACTGGCTCCAGGAGACAGTTGGTCGTTGCTGGAGGGGACAGGGTGCACGGTCCTTGTGGCCGTGTTAGGCTCAAAGAATAGTTCCATGCAGTCAGTGTGGAGCTGACTACGGTCCAGCCACCGCCTTGTGTGTGCTTGATTCCCAAATACAGTGTGCTTGTGTTTGCCTGTGAAGGAGTGTGGGCCGGCTCCGTTGATGAAACGTGGTTCCCATCCGCATGCCTCCCGGTCTTATTCCTTCGGATTTACACTGGATATGGGGTGTGTGGTTGGAGCTGTGGGTGGTGCAGCGCAAGCCATCCATGGTCCCTCTGTAGGCGCAGGCGTCCTGTGGCTTGCCACAGTGACAGGCAAATCTGAAACTGGATGCCACCAACCATATATCTATTCGATTCAGAGAACGGTTGCACACTTACGATGACACTTTACATTTGTGAGTCCTGCAATGCCGTGAGTCAGATATTTTAAATGTTACATGAGAAGGATAACCATATTCACGGTTGACAATTTTTACAACGTTTTTCATCATATTTCGAAAGTTGTACAGAATTCATTTCTACTTGCTCTATAATACACAGTATTCAGTATTCACACTAGACCGTGTTGTCTTGCCGATACTCTTTCATTCGTTCTCTTATCTGTGACTGTTAGCCACTCAGTCTGGCAATTTTATCCGTTCCTCATGAATTATTAACAGGATTAGCATTGCTCGACAACCTGAACCAAGCCAACTGAATCTGAAATATTTTGGCTTCTGGATTATAGTCACTGACGGAGCTGATTTACCTTTTTACTGTATTGGAACTACTATGGGACCTTACTTACTCGTTCGAGTCCCAACTCCCTCGTATGATTTTAGCGTTCTAACAAAATCGCAGCTACTTACAACTGCTTACGGTTGCAGCGCGTTGAATTGTCACTTCCGCGGCTGGTCCGTCGTCAGTACCGTCTACCTATATATGCGGATCACTGAATCGTCTGTCAGCACTCGTAGATCGTTTGTTACCTTGTAGTTATAAATAGCAGTCTGATTGGCAGTCTTCTTATTATGATATACCATGTTCCTTATATTTTTTGCCCTTTTTAACGAACACTTTTACCTTCCTCGCTATAATTTCCTTTCATCATCAGGCTAAGTCGGCCATATCGGTCCAATCCCCGCACTTCTGTTTTCATGTCATAAATGTTAAACTAAACTGAACGTATTTTGGTCACCTGGGCTACTATTCTATCGTAATTCCCCACTCGCTTCACGGGCGTGCCTTAGCGCCTGTCTTCTTGAGTCAATACCGACCGCCTATTTGCGATTCCTTGGAACCAAGTTGCCGGAATCGGTTCCATATTCAAACTCGTTGTTCTATCATGGCAAGATCACTTACTCATACGGTTTGCCCCGTTTGAGTACCATGTTGTCTTCGTCCACGTTATGAACTATGGGAATCCCTCTCGTGGTGACTTTTTCAGACTGCACTGGTTTCATCACTTGGGTTTGCATAATCGAATTCTCCGTATTGAAATGGTTGTTATCGTGAATGCGGTCCTTTTTGTTGCTCCTCGGCTATGGCTCGCCCTTCAGGGTTTCATCGGTAGGCTACATATTAGGCTACTTGGAATCTCGAGCCAACCACGCACGACTATTCCCCCCGCTCTTAAATGGCTTTTTCCTTGGTTGCATCGGTAACTTCAAAAGTTTGCATTAGTTCATCTGCAAGCGATTTACATATTCTTATCGTTCTTCCAACTACTTTCCGTTAATTAACGTTTCCGTGCCTTCTGTTGGCTTGTTATCGATTGCAACTCTAGTTTTCGCCTATTTCTTCATCATTTCACAGAGCGATTCCGCAACTATGCCCAGTCAGGTTCTAGATCCCCAAACCACCGGAACCTCCCGATGGAACACATGGGGTATGCTTAGGGCATTCGCATTCCGCTTGATGGTCACCTACTTCGTATTTAATTTGTTCCGTCGACAATCGACTAACCAACCTGATGCGCCAGTTAGGCCTCCTCCATCCACAAACGTGTATCACAAGGGGGCCCTGATGGAAATGTATGCATTTTTAAGCGAAGAACCCACTTTCCATTCGTTCAACGATTCAGCTTCTTTATTCTGGCATCACCCGGACATTGTGTATGGTGACTGGACTTCTGGCCCGAATGGAGACGGCTCGTTTACAAAGGAAGGCACCATAAACTGCGAACAGGTGGGTGCTTTTCAACCCTATCTTTGCCCACCCAGCTTTTGCATTGCTTCTAGCGGTCAGGCGAAATGCAAATTATCAACGCTGTTTAGGTTTTGTTCCTGATCGTCATGTGTGATTTTTTCGTCACCTCACATTCTCCAACATGCCTCGTACCGTTTTCCACTTGATGCGGTGGCTTGGTCTTGCTTTGGGCCTTGGTTCTTGATCCAGTGGTCACCCTTCACATTTCGCGCTGTACACCAGCATTGTGACCAGGCAATGTATATTTCAAACTTTCGGGCCTTATTGGTACGTTTGAGGATCTGTAGTGTTGTGTTCGGGGCGTTCGGCTTCCATACACTACATTCCAGGCTCGAATCCCCGCTTCCACATGGGTTTGAGCGCCCTCGGCCCGCGTACGGCTACTTGCAGTTGTGATTGATCAGACCTCTACAGGCGCGTTTCGTAGGGAATCGGTAATAACTCGTTATCATTATTGGATGGGTCATTTTAGAGCACTCGTTGTGTGGATGGTTTGCGACGCGCAATCTCAATGTGGATTGTGATTGGCTTTGGGTTGAACCTTAGTTAATTCGATAACTGGGATCGTAACTGAAGACGGTGGATATTCGTACTCTTGTTAAACACCATCACGAAGTGTTTGATGTCGAAAGCAGTATTAATAAATGTGTTAGCCGTACACCGTAACGCCGCTTCGCTGCCGCGCTATCACCACCAGTCACGCGCTGACTGAGTATACCGCGAGGACGCCTGCCCCTACGTGGATTCGGGCCGGTGACCACCTTATGATTATAAGCCAGGCGTGCAGACCACTCGGCCGCCGGCCGACGCAGCTACCGATGTGTGCGTGATAACCACCATCGTTCTCGGGATACTCTCTTTATCGAACCAGGATGAATGGGATATGTGTACTCAGTCGTCAGGGTTGTCGATATGGATGGAAACGGCACATGAAGTGACGCCTTTCTTACTGTCTGGTTGCTGCCTATCGAACTTGGGTATTCGTGCTTTCCTTCTATTCATGTCGGCCTCGGTGTTCATTTTACTCCCACTGCACCCCATTGCCACTCCAGCCACGGGTCACACATGTACCGTTTTACAGCCGGATGATGTGTGCTTCTCGGCAGCCGCTGGAGACCTTTCGATCGGGACGCCTTGTATCTTATGTTCGCTTGCGTTATCAGATCTGCTACTAGAATGTAGGAAAAGTCTTTACTCATTAAACTTCTATCCTTTGCAACACCGGGAATCTTCCGCAACCACCTTACCTCTTGACCCTTTATGATCTGCAGGATAATTGTTGACTTCTGAGTCTGGCCCTAAACCGACTTTTTGCACACATTAACTCCCTTTAGGGTATCGCCGCAGTGTCCAAACTTTCCTCGTTGCATTTGCTTGTTTACCGTTTTATTTTGTACTTGTCCGGGGTTGAGCGCTGACTTTCACTTAGCCCAGTATATCTACTATACAACAGTTGCGCTGCAATCCGTCTCGACTACATGACATCTCTGCAGCAAAAAGGGAAAAAAGGTATTGACGGTACGCTGGTAAGCCAACGCTTCGCTACCACGCGATCACTATCAGTCGCATGCGGACTAAGAGCATTGAGATGTCGCCTGCACCGCTGGTCGGGGTTTCCATCCTTCGTAGAAACGGGCTACCATGCAGTATCCATTCCCCACGGTTGACCGTTGACAATACGCGAAACGTCGGTACGGATTACCGGCGCACTGATAACGCCATTTTGCCTTACTTCTATCTAATTGGCGAGCGTCGTTACACTCGCGTAACCGGTGTCTTATCATACTTGGTTCATTGTAAATCGTAAATGTAAACCACCCACCCAAGTAGCATCTCGCATTCTCACTCTCCCATTGTCTACCTTTCCAACCGCCGCTTTGTTAAGATGATCCGTCAGAGCACCGCGTCAGTTTCATTTATGAACCCTGTTACATTTATCCGGTTTGCCATTATTCCTCAATATTCTCATTCACTACCCCGACGTTGCAGACCCAATCGTAAGTTCTAATTTCCAAATTTCTCGGCTTTCTGAAATCCCATTTACAGGAATTCATTTACCTGTCCAGACTATGTGAATAGTCTGTTGTAGCACGCGGTACGGAGAGATCATTTACGCCTCGCATGACAGACGGCGTCAGCTGCCAGCGGTATCATAACTATCTTAACTGATGTTTCGTTTCAATACAACTATGACTAATCTAGAGGCAATTGCGAAGCGGTAATCATGCTGACCTCACACTGCAATCTAAAACAAGGGTAGCCAGCTGCCATTGGTAAAGACTGATACATCGTTAGACAATCGCTTTGTCGTGTTCGACACCTCCTTTCCGCTGTTACCGCGTTACTTCGTAGTCAGCTTCCATCAGTGAAGCGAACAAGCGAACAACCCTGCTCGAAGGCAGTATCCATGACTCCAGTATTCATAAACAACTAATCACGGATGAATACTAACCCTAGGAGTATAATTGCATCATAGACTGGAAATTCTATCCAAAGTCGTGTTGCTGTGGTCACCATTGCCTCTTTTCTATCTCTTCCAGTTATCAGTCTTCTAACAGTTCTAATGTTCCAATTTGATGAGTTTTATTTAAGCTCTTTTTTATGCTTTTGCTGAGTTTTGTTGCGGTGATATGAGACTTACCACATTTGTGCACCCATCTCACTTTCTCTCCACTTTTGCAACCGACAGTGTGTACGGACTAGGTGGTCGATCCTCATTTCAAAGAGCTAGTGAACCGTCCAAACTGTTCAAGGCGTCTTCCAGTATGAGTACACAGTCGGCACCTCGACACAACATCACGCACGTCAGCTGAAAGTGGCAAACACCTCAACTATTGTGCGTGGTCGTAAATAAAGGGACAGAAGCAAAGAACAAAAGAACGTATTTTTTTGCTATGCATCTAGATTATGATCGTGTTTGCAGGAGTAGGCTAAACGGGAGGAGAGCAGCAATTCACAGCACAAACGCCATTGAGGTTGGCTTCTCGCCATGTCAACAAATGTATCCGATCGAAAATGTTCCTCGTCTTTCAGATCCCAACTAGCGAGTCGGCAGGCACCAAACTAGGCCAAGTTCGAGGGGACAACCTTCTTGACTAACCAGTCCGAAGTCGCTTTGCCGATATGAGCTGCATCCCATCCCAATTGTTGAATAGCAAACCATGCGTAGTCCTAATCACCCAATATCTCACCGAATACGATCGCAGCGTCTGTATTTTGGAGCACAAAGTGTGTGCATACTAGCCACATACCGACTCAGTCCTGTAACTTAGTCTCTACGCTGCTGGAATAGGACGCATACAGTGACGTACATCTATCTACACCAGTCTACTCAGTAACACTTGCACAGGACTGAAAAGATCTTGGAATAACTTTGTCCACGGTGTACCCTGCGTTAGTTTGTCCATCGTGTTGTATAATTTTTATCCTGTCCGTTTGTAAACGGACAGGACATAATCCCTATAGAATCATTTCGACCATACAGTTATTGGTCGGCCGGTGGCCGAGTGGTATGCACGTCTGATTTGCAACCATAAGGTCATCGGTTCGAATCCGCGTAGGAGCGGACGTCCTCGCAGTAAACTCAGCGTACGCGCGACTGGTGATGGTCGCATGGCAGCGAAGCGCCGTTACGGCGTACAGCTGGCGATTTACATTTTTTACAATTTTTGGAGTGGGACTTTCTCTGTTCATTATATCTTTCTGTCTACTACCTCAACCTCAGGAGTCGAGTCACAGGAATTTCAAAGCGGGGAGTAACCTCCCTGACTCGCCATTCAATTCCTCTCCAGTTTAAAGCGAGGTAGCCTTCCAATCAATGGGGAACACCGCGGCGACTTTCTGTTGTCACGTCACTTGTCGGAATATGTTACAAGTGCATTGCATGCGTAACCAGCAAGCAGCTTGGGTTTCAATGATTCGACTTTCTCAACGAATTGATAAGCTACCGCAGTATAGTTCCTGTGCTTATTGAGGCACACTGATGATTTTCGCATGACTTTCTTAGGTCTTTTTTGAAAATGACATTGACCGAGGAGGCGCCTTCCCAGTGTTGCACGGAGTGGCTTAGCCATCAGCCAATAGATCCCCGCTGTATCTTTATACCACGTGTACGAGAGACCCGTTTCCGTTCAGTTTGGAAATTTTATGTTGAATCTCTTCAGTACTGCGCATCGTTACGTCCGTAAGATCAGCTATTTTAACAGACGGTGAGTGCACGATAAACCTGCTAAGGTGTTCCTCGAAATGTTCTGTTCAGCTTTAATTTTGTGGGCTCGGCTATTGCTTCTATAACCCAAGGTTTTATTGGATCAATTCCTCGTCCACAATATCACTGGTATGTTTTATTTCGCATATCGTTGTGAGCCATTGACATTCGTGCTCAATGCGAAAAGTCGAAATAAAGGGAATTTGGCTGTGTGTTGACATGTTCACCGAGCTTGGCAACTTACTTGCAGACGTTTCCTCATCAATCAAGGTGACATCTTCATTGCGTCTTAGTGGGTTCACTGATGGGGGAGTAGCTTCGAGCGAATCAAAGTTCACTCGCTCCTCAGATTAGGGCCTTCTTCACAGCCCATTTGATATAGTTCCAACCTGTATTTAGTTCACCTGCTTGATTTACTGTGACAGCTAACGTCCAAGCACGATGATCTCCACGGCTTATCCTTGAATCATACTCGGTGCACATGTTTTACACCTCATTTTATTGCACTATATCACTTTACTCAACCTCGCGACCATCGTTTATCTCCATCGTCATCACTGCTTGTTGCTACTATCGATTTGTCATCTTTGAACTGTCTGTAGTAAGTCACGCATTTTTATCTGGTGTATTCTTCTACAGTACGCTTCGTTTTCTTTGATGAATAGATTTACTATTATCTAAAACTTCTCCCTCTCTGAGTCGGGATATCTCAATGCTTTGTTGTTTTCAGATGAGCTTAACTCATCTGACTGTTATGTTTCACACAAATAATCGCTCAGTCATGTAAGTATACAAATCACCACAGACTTGGAATACTCAATGTAACGCGGACCTGTTTTCTGTCCGTTTTAGTCGCACCGCCTACTGTCTACCACTTATCTGCGTCTTCAAATCAAACCTAATTTCATCACACCTAAATATACGACACTGCGCTTACTCACGCCTCATCTTGTGCATGCTGCCCCACTTGTGAGTGCCTTTTGTCTCAGTATTAGGACGGCGCCAAGTTGGATTCAACTGCAAGACGCGATCGTGATTGCTTTTTAGACCAGTTTTTGCTGTTTTGCGACCTTCACCCATGCATTGTTTTCTTCCTTTGCAGTTTCCAAGCCTTATGCACAACGGATCCCTGTATTTGCACGTGTACATCGTGAAGCGCGGTTTTTCTCCGGACCCCACGGCCGGAAATCGATATTCCAAGAGGTTGACAGTGTATAAATCAAAACGTGCGTCTAAATAAGCTTATGGTGTGGGTGTGTGTGCACATTCCGATACCTTGACATGCTTCAGTTCAATGTGTGATCATTACGTAGGCGCTCTGCCACCATCTTGTTGTCGTTTCTGTTCTTGATGCCCTCTTGGATTCCTCCACCCCGTAGTGTTTGCACCTGTGTTCGGACCACGTGTTTTTTAACCGATGCATAAACCTGTCAAGTGATCCAGCTCAGGTTGCATCAGCTTTTCAACAGCCGTATCGCAAGGTTTAATGCACCTTCGCTCAGTTACCATCGCGATATGGGACCCCGAACGGATCTGACTTCATTGTTAATTACAGTTGATGACTTCGTCACAACTAGTTTATCGTTGTAGTAACTCACCACGAGGAGTATTCTTGGACCGATACGCAAATGGTATTCCTTTGACACTCTAGTCATCGCCGCTTACGTTGTTTTTTTCTCATTTGGATTGTTTTGTGTACCACACCGCTTCGTCAAATGTAATTAATCACGATACTCTCGTTACGTTTGCTACCATCGTGAGGCTAATATCGTTCTCAGCGTCATTCTGTGGCTGGTATCGAATGGTGCCCCACTCTTCTCAATACTAATGGGCTCCTCTATCTCGCTGGTTCTCGTTCTCTTCCGACTCTCTCGCCGAACCGTCGTCTAGCTGAGTAAACGTTGTTTCAATGGTTTTTGCCACTTATCAATCAGATGTCGCGTGGAATCATCCAAACCATGAAGATCAGCTCGATGAATGTCACAGGAACCCATTCGCCGCTCATACTTCTCGGGTTAAATGGTGATTTGACTTTTGGTATCTCCTGAATACTCTAAAGGAGGCATCTGTTTATCCAGTTTAACTCCGTAACTGGTCAAACCAGCTTGACTTTTTCGCATGCTGCATTATAAGCTAAGCCTGAAAACTTGGAATCTCGATACCGGGTATTATTTGGCTACCGCGGTCCTAATAAGCATTGTTACTTGTTCGGAAACCACTCGCATTCTCCAGAGAGATTTTGTCTCCTTTCTATTTGGTTCTATTGGTTCTAAGCTAATCTGTCGCTTGGTGACCCTCAGGGTTAGCTGAAAGGGGTCCTAGGGACTGGTGATTTTGTTCGGTACCCGACTGAGGTTACTGCTACTCAATGTTTGTGCTGTGGGCACCTTTTCGGAAGGATCCTGCTCTAAGATATCTTCTCTGCTATTTGATTCATCTCAACTTTTACACCACCAGCAATGGTAATGATATCCATTAGTGTACTTTTTTCCTTACCTTCTTTGGGATACGGTCACCGTGAGTGCATAATTGCTATCGAAAATGTATACTCATTCGTATCCGTTGGAGCGAACTATCACCATGTTTTCTTACGGTGAATCCGGCATGACAAATGTCGTGGGCCAAGGATCCAGCTCAACGGCAAACTGGAACTGATTTCTTCTTGGCTCTATGCCCGAACGCACACTTAAACGACGATGTAATCTTCACACACACCTTCAAGCGAATTCAGGATGATGTCTTGCTTCATCTGTTAGAAAGCTTGAAACGTGCCCTCATATCGATAGGCCCAGCTAAGTTGAATGCCGGCGGAGTAGCAAGCCCAACAGCACTTATTTGCTGTCCAACTCTTGTAATCGCGTATTGTGATACATGCGAAACGGAAAAGCAAGATAATCACCGATGACTGAGTTCTAAGAACAGTTAGTGCCTTCCTGTCCTCCAATGCTTTACTACTCGGTACCGTTTCTCCTTAACTGTCATATAATTCCCAGTACGATGCCATGGTGACCCTTCTGTTTACCGTTTTATTTCTCACTCTGCGTTCGATATTCGCTTTCTGATGCCCAGTCTTTGACACTCGCGATTCTTTGAAACCACATAGCATGAATCCTCCATCCATATCTTTGACCGAGTACTTGACAACAGTAGGATACTTCCTACTCCTTCGGACGTTCCTGTCAGGTGTTTAACAGCTATTCAAACACCGAATTGCACCAGATCTAGGTACTATGACTGCGCCGCTTTGTTAGCAAAATAACACTAATAACAAATGTGTATAGCTGTGAGAGAAATAACTAAAACTTACTACCGAAAATTCACGGTATTCAGGGATTCAAAAAAAGAGCATTATCAATAGACGGAAAGATTAACTCCAGAATAAGGCGACAGGATGCGTCTACATCAGGTATCTTTTGGTTGGCCCATCGTACTATGGTCGCCATCCTTGGACTAATGTTTTACTATTGTGTAAACTTACCTAAGAGGACGCTACTACTACCGGCTCCATTTTAGATACTTTTCGGTAATTGTGTTACAACATCATTCTTCTGGCTACCAAAATCGTCCATGCCTCATTTTGTCACTTTGCAAGGATGGTTTAAGCGTCTTGGCTTACCTCCGGCTGTTTTCCGTGTCACTCAGTGTCGCTTCCCCGGCTAATACTCATTCTTATCAACCCATAATTTTCAACGAATTGCCATGACCAGTCGTTATGCCTATCGTTTCTCAGTGCTCACTCGATACAAACGACGACGTCTCTCCAGAACGGCAAATCTTTTAACTGGTCAAACGGGCTCCCATCCAGATACCATTGCCAATTCCTCCACTCCAAGCAATGTGTCTTACTTGCCTCCGTCCACACATTGGCATCCCAATTTGACGATTAACCTGGTGGATGACCAAACTCCCTGGACTCTTGGTGCTGTGCCTGCGCCTCTAGACTCTTGTAAGCCCCAGTCCGCGCCCGCTGCGTATTTTTCAAAACTTGCCGCTTCTTTTCATTTCATGCACTTGTATGTTACCTTTGAGTCTATATTCATGATGTTTACTTGCTTTTATCTAACGCACAATGCTACTGGCTGTTCGGACGATCGCATTCCTAAACCGGACATGACGAGACTTCGACCAAGTAGTTGCGAAGCTTTGCAGCTCCCGTTCCCCTTTCTGGACGTATGGGCGTGTCATATGTTCACCCACAGATCATGCATTAATCCACTGAAACCGTGAGATACCACACATATCAGGACATCGCGTATTCGCCCAACTTTCATAAAGGGGCGAGGCGACCACCTAGCTATTGCGAGACTGCGTAGTTACCCTGCTCGATGTCTCTGCTGCACAGTCTCTTCATTGGATCAAGTTGGTTCACCCTGTTAACCACTCTCAGATGCTCGGATTTTCCTCTCGGTAATTTCCTAGATCTCAATTAGGTGTCCGCTTAGACCCACTTGTAAAGAACCCCACCTGAATACTCCAGTTCCACTAGCTACCTTTCACTGGTTTTTAACATTGTGACCTGGTGCCTTTATCTTGGTCGCCCCCAATCCGTATTTGGTGTTTACTTATTTGACTTACGCTGTGCGATCGGTTCATGTAGACAGGTGTGTTTCACCACTTGGCTCACACTAATTAAATGTGTACTCCTCTCGTGGTGACCCATCCATCGGACACGCAATGGATTGACTCATCTGGTTTCACTTTGAATTCGCTTTATATGAATCCCCTTTAGACTGAATGTCCTATGTACCTTATTGTAATTTCCGGTAATCCGATCCCTCCATAAACCATGTACGACCATCACTTTACAGTGCCTCTTCAAATTAGCCATGTCGCTTGGCCTCTGTAGATAGTCACCAGCCCCACGTGTTCTGCACCGTCAGCTGCTTAGTCATTACCCACGACTTCAGTTTAGCCGTGATCAACGTAGTCACGTTGCTCCGTATGCTTCAGCTGATGACCACCAGGTCGGTGGCACTTTCAGCTTGTGTGATATGACCCCTCTGTTCTAACACCACAACTCCATGGATCTGACACGTGTCACAAAGTCATCCTCAACATTCTCCAAAGCTGTCATCATGACTTTTTCCTCAACATCAACATCGATCCGCTTTGTTTGTTTCACTAGACTATCGGGGTTCGCCAGAAATAAAGTTCCCGGGTTCTGCACAACCGTAAACCAGCCAAAAACGACCTTAGGGAATAGGGCCCATGTTAAAATGAAAGTAATTATAACAATAATCTCAATTATAAATAGTATAACGATAATAGTTTATAATCTGGATCACACGAATACTCTAGGAGCAAGCAGCACTTTGAATTTGTGCAGCTCCTCTGAAATATGATCAAAAGTGTTTAAAAAGTTTGTCATCTAGCAATACTTGAATTGTTTTTCAAGTTCTCGTGTGATATACACGGAGACTCACTGTAACATGGGACTTACAAATGTGAGATATCAACCTTATTTGGTAATCGTTCTTCAAATATCACAGTGGTGAAATGCAAATCCACTAGTGTCTTGAATTGCTGCATCGAACTTTCCTCCACCTTTTACTCTGGAACACCGTTCCGAACCATGGCCTTTCGTCGTTCGAATCACATGAGTTGGGGATCTCGCTTTAGATCCGGGACCACCATTTTGTACCGTTGTTCGCATGTAGTGCATGGTGTTCGCGCGTGGACCAGCGAAATCGGCATGCGGAATTCCCCCAGATGTAAAATGCTATAGGTCCTCATGAGATCGACTCGCACAATCCTGGTCTCTCGTATCGGTCTTCATATTGAAAAGTCCGTAAACTGGTTTATATAACATCGTATATTTTCAAAAATTAGCCACTTATTCTGTCGCCCTTTAGCTTTGGAATCAAATCCTAAAAGGAGATTATCTGTAGCGCTGGGCGGTCATACGTATATGCGCTGGATCTCCTCAGAAATTGGACATCTGCTCTGTTATTTCATTCTGTGAAGTGTATCCAACAGCCGATGTCTTTCATGACGATAAATTCTTGTAGACGCTGGCCAATACCACGTTTATACCTCGAAACAAGGTTTACGAAAAAATTTAAACTGTAATTAGCAACAGGAGAAACGTATCTGCGAGGACTTGACTGTAGTCCCTGTGGTGCCTGGTTTGAGCAACACATTTGTTTACACCTTGGTATATTCGGAAATGACATATCGGAAAAGGGAGATGCAGTTGTACAAATCAGATGCAGTTTGTGTCCGTTATACACCTCTCACATTCAGCTGGCAACCTTATGGTGTATATAGTGGGGTGGGACTAGTAATTACCCCACGCAGGATGAGTGAGGCTGGGGACTCTTACCGCTTTTCTTTTCCGCCTCCGAGAGCACTCAGGTACGGTTTGTCGAGCAGACACAAGTGGCACTGGGGTGCATCCATTCGATTCGGTCTATCTCCTCACCAGGTTCTGCGTAGAGATAAAAATCTCGAGCTACATCTGACCAATCAAACAGTATATATGCCAGGAGTTCGAGAGATGAAAATGCGAACTCTGTTTCTCTCGTCAGCTTCTATCGGGACATTAAGATCTTGAGGTAGGCGTGGCTGGGTAAGGAAAGTACACAACAGTGGTCGGATGACTGAGAGTGGCAACTCGATATAGATTTTTTTGTTCCAATGAGAAAATAGTTTGCCTGCGGATTGCTATGCTGTTGGAACTAAAGATATTTTTTATCAGGTTATCCATTGATCAAGCTGTAAAAATTGCCCGGTCACCCGAGGGAACGGACTTCATTTGTCACCCTTCTACTAGTCCTGAATATCCTCGCTCGTTTGCAGTAGCCGCCGCTCTGAAGACTATCAGTGTTATTTGTTCCCCTGTTTCAGTTGCTTCTCTTTTTGGATATTTACTTTACACGCAGTTGTAAACTTACGGCGGAGTAGTAGAGCTTTGACTGCCCCGCCGACGGATCTCGCTAAAATCGCTTGACATCGACCCTAGACGTAACTTATATGCTGTCAGCTTCTTGCATCTACCTGTTTATGACATGCCGTCAACTAGTGAACGAAATTGTTATATGCTTGCCCCGTAATCCGGAGGTCACCAGTTCACATCCGCCTAGGTGCCTACGGTAAACCCAGCCCACTTGCGACTGGTGATGGTCACGTGGCGCTAAGTGCCGGCGTACTGCTTATGCCTTTATGACGTGCCCCTGCCCTATGCCATTTCTGAGTTCTATCTAACCTCGACGATTCAACCAATTGAATTCTGCATATGCTGTTCTTCAAGCCACAGTTTGGCGTTGTTTGTTGAATGGGCCGTTCATTCCACCTTTTGTGTAAGAACAAAAGGACTATGAAAGGGATAAATGCGAAAAACCTTTTGGATCGCAGAAGAATTACATGGTCATACGACAGGCATTCGAAGCGGTGCTTTCTTGTGATCGACCACTTGACTAATGAGACTCAGGGTGCTTTGTGATTCGGAGTCACACATTTCCATTTGGACGACACAGTGTGTCTGAGCCACTAGGCCTTGCTTTTCGTTTTCTTGTTCCTGCCATCCTACTGTGAGCACAGCAGCCTAACTGTCCCCACGTATTTTACAAAGTGGATACCATCACCCGTGTCCGGAGCACTGAATCTAATCGGCAAACTTCACCAATTGCTGCAGTCACATACTTACTGATCCCAACCTTCTTGAGAGCGCTCTTTATTCGACCACTTAGTAAATTTTGCACGCAGGAAGAACTCGATTTTAAGTGGTTTAGCTGAAATTCACTACAACCAGACTCAATCAGACTATCGATGATCTTCCGGTTGTCAGTTTGATTGCGATGTAATTCCATATAAAATTTTTCCCTAAGCCTAACGCCTATCAAGTTTTGCCCATGATTAGGTCCGATGCTGCGAACCTAAGCAACGTGTTAGACCACTTTGTGTGCAGTAATTTCGAACGCCAAAGTGGCTTTTACCAAAAGACAATAATCTGCTCGTTTTTTCTTTTACGGTTGGGCTACTCCGCGTCTTCGAATCGAGGGATAGTATTTCCGAAAGAAGCATGAAATCAGCCTGACAGACAGACACAAGTATGGTACATCTCACTGCCTCGGTTGGCAGAGCGCACCCACTAATGGTGACCCAATCATGTGTACGCACACTATCCGTCGAGCGAACTAGCTAAATCTCTATGCCCTATTCACAGGAGTAAGAATTGGAGTGATCTATCTGTTGGTCGACAATCTGTTGCTCATAATCTTTATCTTGCTTCTCACGAGTTCCGCATCGTGTTTAACTCCAACATGTAAGGAACATGACCATAGTCATCAATGACTCCGCTGCTGTTTCCCCTCTTGCGGAACCGTTCGTCGATTTGTTAGAAGTAAGATCGATTGAATTCCAGGAGCTTCTTCTGTTCATTCGTTAATCACTTGTTTGTATGCTGCTCACCCGGTACGTGTGTTAACAACGCTACCCTGAGCTCCATGCCACTTAATTATTCCCTTACGTTATCCACGTCCGACGGTAGTACTTGAGAGTCACTTTTATAACATTCAAACGTCACTATAAGACACAAATATATCCCTAACAATCTTGTTGGTGTTCGTCTCTTCATTCGCACGCTTTATCCCAGGTCTACTTGGATACCTACACTGCTGGTGGTGCGTGTTTTTCATCGCTTTTTGCTGCGCACTGTCTCTGTTTTTGAATCACAATCTGATCGCCATTGACGTTTCACCAGAAGTCGCTTTTGTTTGATCTTTGCATGCTATCCTGGTTCGTGTCATAGTAGGCATTCATCGTAAATCTTTTCGATCAAAGCACGCCTGTCATGCTACATCGTTTCATCTTCTCTCTAGATATCGACTTTTACGAACCTACGAATGAATACTTCCCGGTCGTTTTCTTCAACGATTATTGGAACATGAATGAGGACTATAAGCCAGTAAACGAATCAACACCCGTACTGCCAATATCTATCAATTTTGCTCCTCTGTCCATGTTCAAATGGCAACTGTACGCTGCTCAGTCAGCTCGCAAGACATGGTTTTCAACTTTTCTCGGTGACGGCGCTCTCGGAAATGATTTGGAAACTGAAGAAGATCAGGACACGTTAAAAGTGAGTCAGCAAGTTTTCGCCCATTCGGTTGGACATCTCCTGCACCGCCAGCGCCTCCTGTGAGATGAGTCCGTTACTGTACTTCGTCATGGCAGATAGCCATGATTCACCACACATGTCGCTCTGTCAGCTGGTTGTCTTGAGTGATCACATAGCGTCATTTCAAAAGTGACTTCGCGTACTCAGAACTAATGCTTGAGATTGTTTCTATTTTTACGTTTACAACCGGTGGCCCCATGATCCATTCTCCGGATTGTCAGGAACCCAAACTAACCAACACTTCTTTCCCTCCAGCAATTTGGCATCGTTTGTTCCTATCTGAATCTCCCGTTATGCTGATCGATGTTGTCTTCGATCCCTGTGATCTGAGTTTTCTTTTTCTTAACTACAGTGCAACGTTCGACGAGAACGATTGTTGTTTGCCCTTTTTGCCAGTGACTAGTGGTTTAACTTTGTAATGAACGACTCACCGACGAACGTCGCGCTTGATCACGGCAATCTATGCGGCAATGCTCAGCTTGCTCGATGGCCATACTGGAGACCCGAAACTACAGTCAGCCCACCTTATAAGATAGCAAGCATTAATCATCAGACAGGCATCATCATCATCGGAAAGATTAACCGTGACTCCGATTTCTGAGCTGGAACTGTGGTGTCGCAGCATGGTTGGACACCATCAATACCGTTCATCGAATCACCGAAAATAACAAAGTATAGTGCTCTTAAACCGATAACCACCAGTTATGGTATTTCGTGAGCACTAATGTTCCCAAATCTTAGTCCAATATAATAAAAAGCAAGTTGATAAGCTGACTCCCGCGACCTGCGTTGTTTGCGCTCCGGGAGGTGCAGATAGAGTGGCCAAGTTATGGCTTCGAAGTTGACCTCGTTTGGAGCCTCTAGCCTCCCTGGTTGGGGACCGAAGAACGATGAAAATGTTTGGCTGGATATGCTTGTTGACATGGGTAGGAGCTGACTTCAATCGCGTTTATGTTGTTTCTTTGTCCCACCCTCTCCCGCTTAGCCTCTGCCTCCAACCACGATCTCATTTATTAGGCATAATATAACTCCTTTTCTGCGTCACAATAACCGGCTGTTACCTCTCCCGAATGATGTCCATCCGTTATTGGTGACTCAGCAGGCGTGCCACTGTTTCATTTTTTTCCTTTGTATTGTACCACGATAGCCGAGGTGTTCTCCACCTGCAGCTAACCTGCATAATCATGAAGCTGATAGACCATTGTAATGGATGGAACTTCGTCTGTGGTGCGGTTGTCATCCGCGCTGATCCCAATAAAATTGGGTACCTCACGCGTCACCCAAGTTCACTGCACTACGGTGAGCCTCGACAACTTCGGGTAACTGTACTGCGAATGATACAGAGGCCGTTCTGCCGCCTACGAATCGACTCCACATGCATCAAGTGGAGTGCGCATATTACCAAACATTACGTGTAAAGTGCATTCAAAGGATAAGAATAACTATATGGAAGTCGAAATTACAGTGGTATGATAACTGTCGTTCACTGTGTTACCGAGATTCAACCTTCCTTTACCGATGGAACTCAGGTACATGACCGGGAGCAATGTCGCTACATCCGTGAGGCCCTCTTTCTCTCTCGAAAATGTCTTGGCCACTTTGTTGGCACGAGTTCCCATGTGATTTAATTACAACGAATGCGGTTCCGAGCCGTTGCCGAAGCAATTAGGTTACCGGTTCGGATCTGTGTAAATGCAGGTGACCTCCCGGTATGCATGGCCCATGCGCGACTGGTGCTTGTTGCGTGACAACGAAGCGTCAATGTAGCGCACCTACGTACTGCCGATACCACTTTTACTGAAACCGGTGTTACAGTCTGCGCTAATGACTCAGGTCTTTCTAAAACACTGGACTGAGTTCTGTGACAGCCTACCGACAGGTCATCATAACACACATCGGCCGAAGGTGAGAAACACACCTCAGCTAATGTGCCGCAAAACGAAAAAGATAAGAGCTTCAACATTACAGAACACAAAGCTAAAAATGTAACATAATGCTAAATCATTTTTTCTATCTGGTTGCGATCGTTGTTGAAGGGAAAGCTAAAGCGGAAGAGAAGGACAAAAAATCTCACAGCACAAACGCCATTGAAGTCGGTTCTTCGCCATATCAGCTAGTGTATCCAACCAAACGTGTTCATCGTCCTTCGGATCCCAGCCAGGCAGTCAGAAAACACCAACCAACGGAAATTATACTAAATACAGCAGTGACACGACTACGGCCTACTCGTAACTCAGTGAGGGCACCAAACTCCCGTTGCATAGTCCAATGCAACGACCGTTGTAACATCCAGAGGGGCACAGTAGGACGCGCGTTACCATCAGGATCCTGGTGCAGTAATGTATCCCAACTCTATGTCGTGTGTCTGCGATTCCTAGAAAAAATGGCAACCTGTTGTGGGAGCGTCAAGTAATTTCCCAAAGAAACGCACACAAGCAACCAAAGTATTACGCCATGCGGCAGCCGTAGTGCGGCCACGCGACTTCCAGACCACAACACAACGGGTTTTCGTCTACAACCTCGCCTCGCCAGAACTCATGCTCGACGTAGAGTCATTTGGGCTATACTTAAAAAGTCTCCATACACGTGTCACCCTTTGCTAGATCAGTACAAGCGCTCGTGCGCGAGGTCCGTCTTTCTCTCTCTGATCTGTAGTACGGTCGTGGGTCGCATACATTTCGTTCGGGTGCGTCACTAATTTGGCATGGTTTCCGTTCATCATCTATACAACGGCTAAGTTTCGTGGGAACGTAATCAGTCCGAATTGCCTACCGATTTACTTGACGCGTAGGAGCAACAATACTCGAAAGTCCAACGAAAGGGGTCTATAACACAGCCGGCCTCACAAGAGTCGACCCAAGCTCACATTTGCTATCTACACCCTTCAGCAAACTATTCAAGTATAAGACGCTGTCTTGTTTTTACTTCAACCCACGAGGCTCTCTCGGTAGACTAATCGAACTCCGGCTGCATCAGGCCTCGGTGTCTGGGGTCTCATCATGGTAGCCGATACTAGGCCGAGTGAAAGGATCACTGATGCCGAAATCGTACTAACTGGGATCTATATCCTGCGCAGCGATCGATTCAGTAGAGATGGTATGTTTTTTTATCACCGCACGAAGCTGCACCTTCATCTCATCGAAGTTCCGAAGTTTCGGATTGTCGGCGCGTTTCGATACCGTCTTCAAACTAGACACATTGACACATGTTTAGTAGTTGTTGTTTATTGCCCTCCGTCACCTTTAGGATTAGACAACCGTCTAGATTTGTGGTCACACCATCACTTCCTTTTAGCGGGAGACAAATCTCCACACCCTGAAAACCCTAGTCTGTCTCGACAAACACTTCACAGTGGAATTATATGAGCTAATCGCCGCCTTACCAATTTGCATCCATGTAACCTCCCTTACATGATTCAGTACAGGGAACAAACCAGCTGTCCTAGGGCCACAGTTATAATGTGGCACTGCCCTTCAGCTTCATCTGTTGTGCAGAGTATTCCGAAGGAAACGTCGATGATTTTCAGCCAATTACGGTTTTCCGATTACCCTCATCAGTACGATCGAGCATTCCCAAATGTACCCCTAATGCCGTTGCCATGATCTCGTCAATCAACTCAACAAGCTAGTAAGGAGTGTACCAAAAAACAGCCTCCCACGCCTTATCTGAGCGAAGCCCTTCATACGGAGTAGGTCACGGCAATGTATAGCCATGAGTGATTCGCTTGGACGAACGTACAATGCCAAAATCTAAAATGTCTACAAACTCTAAGGGAAGCGTCGCGTCCACCTGGCGCGTGGTGACGAACGAAAGTAGCAACATGGTTTAGCCGAGAAACTGTGCAAACCTCAAACTCCATTGAAGACGCATCAACAAACTCCATAAGTTGTATCACTGAAGGAACACGAACCACACGATAATCATACCTTGCTTTACGTAGTAATTCTCCTTCAATTTCCAAGGCAGAACTTCCTCTCCTATATTCTTCTCACAGGATACACCACAAGCACCTAGTCGTATTTTGTTTACAGCCGCAGATGTTCCGAATGGGTTAATGTCTGCGCGAGTGTAACTCTTCTGGTATTGTCAATATCCGTCCACAAGCACTGTTGTTGCCTGCCATTAATTTGGGTGAACCGTTCTCTCAGTTTTTCCGGTGATGTCTCGACGAGATGCAGCTTCTAACAATGTGAAAGCATGATATCGTCACCTTAATTCATAAGGGAGAAAATCATGCAGACCCGGCTAACTGTTGCTCAATAACACTCCGGTGCCTTCTGAAGTCATGGAAACCACTATTGCAGAAGCACTCATGGGTTACTTGGAGGACTGCAACATATGGATTAGCGGCATCCGTATCCGCCTAGAGAGGGACCATGGGTGGCTTACGCTGCACCATCTACAGTTCCATCCACACAACCCATATCCCGTGTAAACCCGAACGAATAAGACCGGGAGGCATGCGGATGGGAGCCACGTTTCATCAACGGAGCTGGCCCACACTTCTTCAACAAGCAGAGCAGAAACATTCCTGTCTAATTGGGAAATCATACACACCAGACGTACACAAGGCGGCGGTTGGGTCGTAGCCGTTCCTCACAGGTTGGAACAACTCTTTGAACCTAGCACCTTCACGACGACGATGCGACATAATTGCACAAAAATAGCAAGGATTTCGTCAGAACCGGTGTTGTAGCTCAAACCGGCTACTTTTTAGCCTCGGTTAGACTGGAATCCTCGATGCCGGTATAGGTTCTGACGCGTTTTAGATGGATTTCTTAAAGGAGTTTGATCCTCTGAATCGTCGTGGCGCCTCCGATCAGCAGGTGATCAGCCAATGCTAGAGGGCTCGGCTCCTAAACTCTTTCCCTGAGCGTGCATTCACTTTGGAAACACACTTCGCTTCTGTGTTTACAAATGACCGGGTGTCTGTATCGAGTTCGACGTGTACCGCGCTTACC